GCTGTGTTTTGTATTCACTGTGAGAACAGCACTGATAACACCCTGATGTTGTAGTTGTTGCTAAGGGGTGCTCATTCCCAATCAAGCACCTTTCAGTTTCTATCTCTGCCTGTGAGGAGGTGCACAAGGAGCCAGGAGGGAGCACGGCCAGGACACCGACCCATAGTAGCCAAAGGCACATTCCACAGCATAGAGCGTCTTGCCCAGTGCATACACTGTGCAGAGGTGGCTGGGAGCACTGCTGGCTGCTCAGGAAAGGGTTGGGTGTTGGTCAGCAGGTGGGGAGCAGCTGTAGTGTGCATCATTGTCATTCTGGGGTTTATTTTTCTGTCTTTTGCTCTGTCCCTATTCATTACAGTTATTTTCAAAGACTTTTTTGTTGTTGTTATTAAACTTTTCTTAACCCACAGGTTTTACCTTTTTTTTTCCTGATTTATTCCTCTGGGAGAGGTGAGGGAGGTGAGCAAAGTTGCTGCATGGTACTTAGTTGCTGGCTGGGGTTAACCCATAGCAGTTGGCAAGAGATTTGGTTTTGAGTTCTTCCAGAGTCTCTTAGGACATCCTTTAAAAATTATTTTCTGTGAACTCCCCAGTTTACCCTCCTCTACTTTGTTTTTTCATTGTGGAAAGCTATGATGCTCTTTATCCTCACCATTAAGTTAAAGGATGTGCAAGTACTGAATTTTGCTTCTTTGATGTCCCTCCTAGCAAAACAGTCTGTGGTTCTTTTATATAATGCATTTCAGGGTGGCAACCTTTGTTTCCAAAAACTGAGACACAACAGGAACATCTGCGTTGCCATCTGCAAGACATTTCCTTCTAGGATCCCAGGGTTGGTTACAGGGCTTTCAGACATTCCTGCTGCCTGTTCCCCTGGGTGCACAGGGAGGAGACAACAGGTTTGTAACTATAACACTGCTGCATGTAATTCTGAACTCTTGAGCACATCCTGCTGTCACTGGACACAGCCTGCCCAGGTCTCTTTGAACACCCACTGCATCTCCTCTCAGTTGTATCCAGCCACTCATCCCTGCATCCCTTTTTATGCAGCTTGCTTTTTGCTGTTAACAGCAAGGTGCTGACCCTGGCAAAGCAGCCAGGTATTGTGGGAAAATGCCTTCTCTATTATTGGCCAGCCATTATATGCTTGGAGAGGTTTTCAGTTTCAGACTTTTGAGAAAGTCAGGAAAGGATTGTTTCTGTTCCCTTTTCTTTTTTTTTTTCCCTCTGCAGAATTATTTCTGAAGATAAAAGTATTTCTGCTTACTTTTCTAACTTCTTTTAATCCTGAAACTGCCATTAGATAAAATAATGAACCAAGTTACTTATTCATAAAGGCAATGTAAATATTTGTATTCCACTGCATTCCAATAAAATAATGCTGTCATGGATTATTGGCAGTAAATTATTTTAAGTTATACATTTCAAAGTAAACAAAACTATATACATGAAACTATCTTTGATTATTTTTCATGAAGCTTCTTGCTCTTTTTTTTTAACAGTCTTGCTATGAGATCTGAAATCTTAATGCTGGTATTTTGATTTTCAATGTCTTCTTATTTCATTTCTATTGCAAATGCTTTCTACTGAGGAATTGTAGAACGTTTCCTGCATTCACTGCTCCATTTCCAGTTCTGGCCCGATTCTGATAGTATAGTTTATATGTTGCCACTTGTACTGGCCCACTGACTGAATTGGAATTCTCTTGTTTGGGTTCTGTATTTTACATTTGGTTCTTGAAAGGTAGTGGGGGAGCAGAAGGGCACAATCTCAAATAAACCTCTTTTTTTCCAAATTTGCAGAAGCTATTTGCTACTCTGAGGCAAAGGAAATGAAAGATGGATGCTCTTTAATTTTCAGTGTGCTGTTTATCTCAAAAGCAGATTTTCTATTTGGCAGCAATAATTTGAAGCATTACTCCCAAGTGTCACCTAGACCCCATCTATGTAGAAAGTATAAAAATGAACCAGGACATTTTTCACATATATCAATATTTTTTTCATATGAAACTGTAGCATATTTCACTATTGGGGAATCCTTCCCCAATAGATGGCAGTGCTTTTACTTAGGCAGTGATTTCACAAATTCATAGCCTACTTTTTTTTTATAGGGTACATTTATCAAATAGGATGGACTAGGTCCTTCAAGGATGTTTCCTAGATGATTTTTTTTCTTTTTGAATGGATGGACACAATCTCAAGCAATTGGCAAGATCCTGAACAGCTTGAATAATTAAAAATGGGCGACTATAATCTCCCAAGTACTGATACCTTTTTCCTCCTTAAATTAAAAAAAAACAAACCTTACTTTGAGAAATCTCAGTAAATTTCCTTGTGATAACACAGGACTCCAGGACCTTGCTTTTCACACTGCTTAACTTTCATGAGCCTCTGGCAATAGACTGGTGATATCAGAAAGTTGAAACCTGAGAGCTTTTCAATAGGGTTTTTTAAAGATTTTTTTTTGATTGCAAATCTGTAAATATGGTACAAAATTTGAAACACAAAATGCAAGAAGTTTCAGCTTCCTCCCAGCATGTTTTTGTTTTCAGTAATGGTTCATGCTATGTGTTGCAGTTCTGAACAGAAGACATTTAGAGCAGTTTAGACTTGACTACCTACGGTGATGTTTCTAAATACATTTCAAGCTATTAGAATGCAGAGCCATTGGCTCTGTAGGAGGAGCACTGAATGGTCTGGCACTCTGATGACTAAAGATAAACTCATAGCAGCCTAAATTTAGGCACCTCATTTTAAAAACTTTGGCCCAGATATGTGAACCCAGAAGAATGAGATTCAATAATTCATTTCAAATTCCCTGGCTCTTGCGTCTCCCCAGACTGAGCATTTATTCATACAAATTGCTCACTGTTGCAGATGAATCATTAAATTTAGCCAGTGCAATAACTCTGCACCTGAGCATTATTTAATTCTGCTAGCAGCACTTTGTTCTTTCTCTATATGTTACAGCACCTGGCTATTTTGGCTTTGTCTGTATATATTTGGGAGGTGAATAGGGAGAAAATGTACACATTTTTGCCCTCTTGTTCATCACTGCTGTCTTTCCTATGAGCTGCTGTTCCTCAGGAGGTCAGCTTAATGTTCCTCCCAGCTTCAAAGAAATGCAAGGGAGGCAATTACCAAGGGGACAATTTTGGGAGAGGATTATCTTGTTAGCAGTGTTATCTCTAGTGGTTCTCATCTGCTTTGACACCAGTTACTTTCGTTACTTTCCTATACTGCTCTTCATGATGAAGAGAATTACTCTGTTCTGTCTGCGTTGATTCTCCTCTTTCGATGAGTTTGCAGTTTCTCTTGGGATTTTTTAGTCTCTTTAAAGGAGTATTTCAGCTTGTGGACATGAGAAATAGATGGAGGGATACGTGTTGCCCACAATTTTCTGTTGTGGTTGTGTGGGCTACACAAATAAGTGAAATTTTAAAACACAGTTACTTAGGAAAGAAGTAATTTATACCTTTTTTAGGGACACAGTGTAAGCTAAGATTAATGTTAAAGTTGCTGGTGTTGGCTACTTAGTTAAGTTTCACTTAATATGTTTGAAGGGATCAGGTATCCCTTAGCCTATATTAAGGATAGATCTCTTGTCATTCCACTGCAGCCTTAGAAGTTGTGGGCGTTTATTCTAAGCCAGTCATCTGTAGTCAGTGTCATAAGAGAAGGTGATTCATCCCACCTGACACTAAATATCTGAGAGGCTTATTATGCAAATGTGTTCTGAAGAGGAAGGTGGTTGATAATGTTCCTGCTCAGCCCAGTGCTACAGTCTACAAGCCTCTCAGTACCACTGCAGTAGTTTTTGAAATACTGTGGAAATTATCCAGGTTAAAAACCAGTAACTGGAAGTATTTTATTCATTTGTATTTGTTTGCGGGTTTTTTGGTGTTTTTTGTTTTTTTTTTTTAACTGGGTTAATTTCAGTGATTCATAGGGCCATTTATAATAAAGAGAGATAAAAATATCTGTTCAATAAATGAGGTCATGCTGGCACAGAGGAAAGAAGTGGTTGAAGGCAGGCACATTCCAAACCGTGTAATGAACTGCCTCCTGAAATACATGTGTGCGCTGTTTTATTAGGAGACATGAACACACCGTAGTAATTGTTTAACTGTGTATTAAGCAGGACATTAACAATATCACTGGCAGTGTAGTGTACATCTCTCCATGCTTGCCATCACTTTATTAGACTATTAAGTGTCTTGAAGTGAGCTTATATATGTCTAACAAAGGGGACACTTAGGAACTTCTGTGTATATTGCGAGATCCTTCAACTGAGGTTCTCTCTCAGTACCAGTAGCACAATCTTCTCCAATTTTAGCTTCCCAGTGGGTTATACATGTATGGATAAATATGCAATGGGAGATGGGATGTTTCTTTATAGTATGTAGTGATTATCCAAGTTCATACCAGGAGAACTGGTATTTGCATGGTCAAAAAAAAGTGACCATGCAAATCATAATTTCATCTTGAGCCTTATGTAAATATGAAGAGAGGATGAACTCTCTTATAAATGTGTGAACTTCACTTGAGCATCTCACTGACAAGTTTTTAATTAACTAGGTTAGTTAACAGATAGACTATCAGAGGTGTAGTGAGCCAGAGGCAATATATTTTGGGAGGCATATTGAAAAGAAACACAGCTGAGTAGGAGGTATTAGATATACCATAGAGAAGTTAGATCTCCTGAACTGCATGTTCCGTGCAGTTATTCATCACAGGATCCCTTATGCTGATCTACCACCCTGCCCCAGTGTGCTTTAGTAGTACATAGACATGGGCAGGGTACTTTGGTTTAGGAACTGAAGTCAGAGAAAGGTGGCTACCACCAGTTAGTTACTGTTCCATGAAGCAGCAGAGGAAGAGATGAAAAGAACTATACTGAAACAATGTCAGTAGAAATGAAAACAATCAAAATTAGCTTTATAGTACATTTTTATATAAATTTATTTATTTTTATTATTATGTTTCTTTTTATTTTTGTAGGCTGTGGAAACCAACCTTGCATCAAAGGATAGTCACTGGGTCTATGTAAATGAGGTAAGAAAGTCAAAAGAGAAAACACAGCTTGCTACATTCACTCATCACCATCTTTTGTTTCATATGTTTTGACACACCAAACTGAGCATACATGTAGCATTTTTCCCTTTGAATGGCACAAGGTTCAAACTCTGTGGTGTCATTGCTTGTCTGTCTTAGTTGAATTGGCATAGGTTGAACACCAGAGGTCAAGATAAAGCTTCCAATATACCTCAGAACAGCTGGGAGGACTTATTTTTACCTTCCTGCTGACACTGTTTCATTCTCTATTTAGGAAACAGAGAATATCTCAAAAGAAATCTCAAATACAGGCATCTCTCTGGCAGAAGCTCACCCTCCACTGCTGTGAAAGCCTTGTGAGCTTAGTCCATTCAATTATGTATTTACATGATACACAGGCTTTCTCTAGTGCAGAACTGTGTTAGTGTATTGGCCAAGATCCAGAATAGCTTAAATTCAAAGTATAATGTTTCTCCTCTGCAGCAAATGGGACCCTGTCCTGCTACAATGATTATTTTACCTTAGTGCCATGATGCCCTAATGGGAATCTGTTCAGATTCTTATTTAAAAAACAATGAAATGTTGTACCATATATAGTAACTTATAAATCACTGGTAAATTGCAGTATTTTATAAATTCCTGGTTTTAATAATGATTTATTTAAAGATAGCAAAACATCTAATTAAAAAAGAACAGTGTTCACTGTCTTATTTTTATCTTTTAAATGCATAGTGTCTAATTTAATAGCCAATTCCTTTGTTAATTTCTCTCTCCTTTCTTTGCACCTAGCTAATAATTTTGGATAGGCAACTTTTAATAGTAACTATAAATTGTATTGTGTGGCATTAGACAGGCTCTGTAATTAAATAGGGGTTAGGGAAAGTGAGTGAAATCCCTGCTTGTAAAGGCTTTATAAATTCTTTCTTGTCCTTGTTATATTTAAGTACCTCCTGGTTTGTCAGCTGCTGTAATGACCCACTACAAAGCATCAGCAAGATGCCCAGAGAGTCAGTCTTTATATTCACATAAAGATAATACAGGGCATATTTCCCTAAACATTTATAGAGAGGGAGCGACTGTGAATTTTTTACTGCTGCTGTTATTGTTGAAATGTTAAAATTCACTTCACAAAGCCTGAATCTGTAAGATCATGGTAAAAGCCTTCAACACTCATGCACTTACGTGTGCACACTTGTATATACACAGAAAAATCACACAAGGTGTCATTTCTGCTTCTCTTTTGGAAGCTTTTGTTTTTTCTCCTTTGTAGCTAAAGACTGGGTAGGGAAGCTATGAGAGCAGCATGTGAATTTAGAGTATAAATTTCTAGTGAAAAACATCACTGCACATAATTTATAACCATCTCAAAATGCAATTAAATCCAAACAGACAATTGGAGAAGCTTTTCAAATTCACAAAACCTTGAAGAAGTTTTTGCAAGCAAAAGGAAGGGGAAATGTCTTGGCTGTCCTTTCTTTAACAGAAGTGTGGATATGTGAGTGCTTAAAGCTGTGAGAAGAAGGCACATTGAGCATCTCCTGGATGTATCTATAGAAAGATGGAGGTTCCTCAGGGCTTGCTTCTTATTTAAGTGTGCATCCCCCCACGGGGGATACACTGATTAAGCTTTCCATGTACATGTTTCCAATTAGTGGTAGTGGAAACTGCATGAATATTTGATGGAAAAGATGATTCTGATTCTTACTGCGATTTGCGGAATGGCGTTAACTTTTAATTACCAACAGTCAAATCAGCTCTTTTTGATGTGTTTATACAAGAGTAGAAGCCCATTATGCAAGTGGACCAGAACCTTAGCCAGTCCTTTTTTTTTGTCCCAAGCAGATTGAGGACCCTACACTTCCCTGTTCACCCTGTGACTTAAGGATTCCATTGCAAGGAAAGGGAGCTGTAGGGTTGACTGACTGAAGGGGCAGTAGCAGGAAGAGAACAGAGGGACAGTTTTTTCCATGGGGGTTCCCTGTATGAAGAACACTGGATTGTAAACAGCTTTTCAGGCCTTTTGAACTTCAGGGAACCACTGAAAGTCTTTGGACTGCTGAGATCTGCTGACCCACAGCACCTTTCCATGTACTCTGTCTCCCACCTCTCATCAAGCTAACGAGGACCTGAAACTTGGACTTACCTTGCTATAGTAAGAATGATTATATAGCATGGTATTATTTCAATAAGAGATTTTATTATCTTCTTACTTTAATTAAATCTACTTTACTCTCTCTGCACTGACAATCCAATAAAAATTTGTGTTCGGTTTTTTTCTCTCGTGCACCTTCCCATGTGGTAGAGTAGGAGTTAAGTTTTAGAGGTGGAACAAATTTTATCACTTAAATTTTGTTATGTAAGCAAGATCACCAAGCTTTGGATGAGCTAACTTTAAATCTATATGGCTGGTAATTATACAGCAAATGAACAAACAGCTGTACTGACAAAATCCTGTTTGCTAGTTTTCAATAACCCAGGTGTCTGCTGAAGTATCTGTTCTGGTTGGATGCCACTGCTGGTGAGAAAGGACTCGGTCATCTGGCCATCTTTAGAAAAAGGCTGGTTAATTGGGAGTTAAATTTATTGTGTGGGGTTGGAAGGCTGAAACATTACCTGGCAGGTTTTCTAGGGTAAGAGAATACACAGGGATGGGTCTTTTCAGGCAGCATCATGCCCTCATATGCCCTCTTTGCAGCTGAAGTAACGAAAACCTTACTGCTTAAAAGTATATATATTTTTGTGTCCACTTTTCTGGTTTGAAACAGGTAATGTTTCAATATTGCAATAACTGTCAAAAGTAATGGAGATTAGAAGGGAAAAAAAATAAATGTATTTCTAACTACCCACCCCCTTTTAAATTTATATTTCATAATCTGCACTTTTTGTTTTTATTTATCTAGAAATGCTAAATCATCCCTTGTTTTCATTTAGGTAGTGATTCTACCTAAATTCTAGGTTAAGTGTGCCAGGTAGCTTTTGAAAAGCAAGAACACTTGTGATTCCTGTATAAATCTATGTAAAAGCAAATTTTTTCAAATGATGGAATTAGCTGTGTCTCCAGAATAGTCCAGAACACTTTATTATCACAGACTGTGTTTGGAGTTGTCAATGACTTGCAGGTTTGACCCAATGGAAGATCTGTGAGAACATATCTGGTGTTCTCCTTGAGCCCTTTGCTGTTTGTACCTTTGATGGGTGAAGTGACCCACCAGCTTTGATAGACGTGTGCTGCTGCTTCTTTTGGCAAGACAGCCACACTTACAGATGTCTTCTGGTTTTTGGATGTTTATTTCCTGTTTTTTTCCCTAGTTTTCTTTATTATTTTTGTTTTTCTCTTTTCTTTCTCTTTCATACCTGGCATTAAGCATCTATGTTGGCTCCTCATGACATTTTTTTATTCTCCCCCTTCTTTTTTTCTGCCTTTTCTGAGAAAATGTTGTGCCTTGCCCAGGGCATGTGTCTGTGGGAGATGTACAAGAACAAAACTTGAAACTGAATTTGGATGTGGTTGTACCAGGAGCAGTGCTCCAGGAGCCTGTGACTGCTTCTTTACTAGCAGCAGTAGTAGGGCTGGGGTTATAAATAGAATTAGAAGCCATATTTCCCTTTTTGTGGAACATTTCATGGTTTTGGAATTGTCTCCATTCCAAGGTTAAAGAAAAGATAAATTATCCTGTGAAACTGGAATATGGAACAAAAATATAATCAAATTAAACGTAGCATTTTATTCCCTGATATTAATATATTTACTTCTAATTCAAATTTTCTAAACATTCACTATTTTTACATGTAAATTAGTACAAAAAGCAATGAACTGCTCTTCCTGGAAGTAGAATGGTACAGAATTTGACAGATAATTCAAATTAGTTGTTTCATTATTATGACAACATTTCTTTAATTTCTTTTTTAAGTTCTTTTTTATTCGGTGGTTTAAGCAAAATCTGTAAGACAAGGTCAGGCAAAGCAAAAGACTACTCGTTGATATGGGAGAACACTTTTTTTGAAGGGCAGGTAGGGATGAAAAAAAGGCAATGTAGTGTTACATGTCAAAACCATCCATACCCACTCTGAAGCTGAGGAGAGACGAGGGACAAACTTTTGCCTGGAAATATAGAGAACACACTGAGGAACACTGTTTTTGAAAGTGCATTTTTTTTGGACAGAAATACCCCAAAGACAAGAAATTAAAATAAAGGAAGACTTTAATTTTCCTGGCAGTGGAGAAAGAAGGGTTGGGATACAGATAGAGCTTCACAAATTTCCTTTGATTGATGTTATCTGTACATGTTTAAAATGTTAAGGCAGCCATCAGTTCAGATTTATCATTATGGCCAAGGAAGAATGGGCTAAGGAAGCCAGAAGATAGTTGGTGTGAAAGTTATCATGCCATGGTAATATGCACTTTTTCGTGAAGAGAGAGAGGTGGGAAAAGGACCATGGGGATACTGGACATCAGAAGATTGTCCAGCTTCACAGTTTGGGAAACTAGTAATGGAAAGATAACACAGTAAGCAAAGGATGACTAAAGAACTGTGGGATTCCCTGAAGATGAAGGCATAACAAGGTGTCTTTATGGTGACAGTGGGTTATCTTCACAGAACTTGAAATCAGAGATGAATTCTAAAGAAAAAATGATTTAAGAAAAGGGTTAGGTAAGAGTGTAAAGGTGTAACAAAGTAAGGGATTATAAAATAAGGCTGTGACTCAAACTGAGGATCATGAAAAGTAATAAAAGTTTAGATATAGCAGAAGATGAAGAAAAGTGAGAGATGATTACTTGAAAAATGAGGGTTTAATGTTTTTACTTAGTTCCCTGACTCTGACTTTATAGAAACTATTAATTATGACAAGACTGTTGAAAACATATTGTTGTAGTTCCAGTTATTTTAGATGAATTTGAAGCACTCCCCCAGGTGAGATTTAATATAGAGAAGTGCTTTTGCTTGTGGCTACAAAATGAGGCATAGGTGGTGTGCATCTGCAAGAGCAGCTTAGAATCC